TGAAATTCTAAAATTTTGAAGTCCTCTAATTTGTAAGTAGAGGAACCCTCAAACTCATAAGTGGCGAAACTCTCAGACATAAAAATTCTCAAATTCCCAAATTTTCATATGCCTACATTCCCAAACGTCCAAACTCTCAAATTCTCAACACCCAAGGTCCCAAATTCTCAATTTCCCGAATTCCCAAGCTTCCAAATTTCCAACGTCACAAATTGTCAAATTTCCAAATTTCCAACGTCCCAATACCTAAACTTCCAAATTCCCTAGATTCCGAATTCCCTGGATCCCGAATTTCCTAGATTCCGAATTCCCTGGATCCCAAATTCCCTAGACCCCGAATTCCATAGACCCCGAATTCTCAAACCCCTAAATTCTCAAATTTCCAAATTCCCAAGATCTCCAATACCCAAACTCCCCAATTCCTTAGATCCCGAATTCCCTGGAACCCAAATTCCCCAGATTCCGAATTCCCTGGATCCCGAATTCCACAGACCCCGAATTCTCAAATTCCCAAATTCTCAAATTTCCAAATTCCCAAGGTCCCCAATACCCAAACTTCCCAACTCTTTAAATCCCGAATTCCCAAGATCCCGAATTCCTTGGAACCCGAATTCCCTAGATCCTGAATTCCCTGGATCCCAAATTCCCTAGATCCCGAATTCCATAGACCCCGAATTCTCAAACTCCTAAATTCTCAAATTTCAAAATTCCCAAGATCCCCAATATCCAAACTCCAAAATTCCCTAGATCCCGAATTCTCTATACTCTAAATTCCGTACACCCCAAATTCCCTAGATCCCAAATTCCCTAATTACCAAATTCCAAAATCCCCAAATTCCAAACATCTCAAATCCCGAAAATCCTAAATCTCAGTATCCCCATATTCCTAATCTCTAATCCCTATATCCCTATATCCCAAAATGTCTAATCTCCATGAACTGATGCACAAATAATAAAAATCTTGAAGAAATTTCACTCGTCCTGGAAAGTAACGAACAGACTGAAAGAAACACAGCTAAATATCGTTGATTAAACGTGTTGCAACGAGAAATTTAGAGGGTCCTCCTTTTAAGGAACTTCGTCCTCTCGAAACGATACTCTTCATTCTCCATGAAAATCCGAAGTTTCTTTCAGCAGAAGAAAACTGCACTCTCGAATAATTCGCACGAACACTCGGCTTGAGAGTACTCGTTTTCCTCAGACAACCTTTGAATCGTTCATTCCGTCTGCGCTTTTGTAGAAATCGATATTTTAAGAGCAGATACTTGGAATAATTCAGAAGCCAGGACCAGAAAAAAAGGAAGCCAGCGGTTTCGAGGGAAGAACAATAGAGAGTAATACAATTATATTTGCACTCTCGATAAGAGATTGTAGATGGAATAGATGATGATGTTTACAACGATATTTCTTTTTTGTTATTTTTTGGTGAACGTAGGTGTTAAATACCTTTCTTTGAGATTGAAAAATCACGCAATGAAAGATGAATATGGTAACGCAAGAGAAAAGTTATTGAAAACTTACTGGTCTAGTAGTTAGGTGTAAATACTATATTTAGGGATAACGATTAATATCAGAGTCGATAAGAAAAGCAATGAAAGTATTATTTCATTGAAGTACTTTAACGATAGTGATCTGAATACAATCGTTCAAATGTATTTAAACTTTTGCGACACGGTTAAAAAGAGAAACATTCAATTAATACGTACATAACCTCTCTCTACATACTTTCCTACACATACTTCTATTATCTACAAAAGTTTCCTACTATGATTGCATATAATTATTACTTTCGCGATGCATTATAATTGTATTGAAATTATATGCTTTCTTTATGTATTTTATGTGTACTATCTTTTTTAGTGTTCTTTGCAAAAACTGTTATTTTATTTTTTGTATTTTGAGAAATTTTCAGGTGGTTCACTGACCATTAAACGAAAACATATACCACAAGATTTCACTAATAACAGATTCTCTATAGATCATAGATTTAATAATGAATTGCCAGATTCCTCAGACGCTGTAATCAGTGACGTACGTGCTCAGATATCACAGTCGTAGACTAATTAATTGCGCAAGGTAATATGATCGAGAGATAACGTTTATCTGAATCTAGCGACAAGCTGTATTACTCTTTGATTGTTATTACACTATACACATAAATAAATATGACTATTAATTTTGTTAAATATTCTGAAATTAAAATAATTTATTGTGACGAGGAGTCCGAATTCCAAAAATATAAAATTAGCTTAAGAATTTGACAATTGGAAAATGCAAAAATTCGAAAAGTCGAAAATTCAAGAGTTTAAGAATTTAAAAGTACAAGAATTAAAATTTGAAAAATTCCAAATTTCCCAAATTTCAAATTTCCCCAATTCCAATTTTCCCAAATTGCAAATTTCCGAAATTCCAAATCTCTCAAATTCCAATTTTCCCAAATTCCAAATTCCCCAAATTCCAAATCTCTCAAATCCCAAATTTCCCAAATTCCAAATCTCTCAAATTCCAAATCTCTCAAATTCCAAATCTCTCAAATTCCAAATTTCCCAAATTCCAAATTTCCCAAATTCCAAATCTCTCAAATTCCAATTTTCCCAAATTCCACATTTCCCAAATTTCAAATTTCTCAAATTCCAAATTTCCCAAATTCCAAATCTCTCAAATTCCAAATTTCCCAAATTCCAAATTTCCCAAATTCCAAATTTCCCAAATTCCAAATTTCCCAAATTCCAAATTTCCCAAATTCCAAATTTCCCAAATTCCAAATTTCCCAAATTCCAAATTTCCCAAATTCCAAATTTCCCAAATTCCAAATTTCCCCAAA